GACTTGTAGACATATGTCTAGAAGTTCAGGATCAGAGTTTTAAAAAGTGGGGGATATGAAAATAGAGAATGAATTTCAAGGCCTGGATTGAAAGAGATCTCTGATAAATGAGAGATAGGTGTCCGCAAAACCACATGGAAAATGTTCTTACAGTTTTATGGAAGGGCTTGTCTAATGGGAACTCTGAGGAAAGGTGGTTGCCCAGTTATAAAGCGTGCTGATCTCTTCTTCAGTTCTGCTGGATTGCTTTCCAGAATGTATTTATAGGTTTACATTTCCATCAGTGGGGCATGAGGATCCTCATTTCCTCATAGTTTGGTCAAAATTTAGGATGATTTTTCTGATTCTGGCTCATGGGAAAAGCAAGTGGTATGCCAAAGTTGGCACAGTAGAGCTCATTTTGTACGTTTGTACAGCTGGGAAGTACTTCTCGACTCCTTGTTTAGTTCACACACCCGTAGCTCAAAATTGGCAAGTGAGAGTACTTGCAGCATGGAAATTGGCAACTACCACACATTAGGACTTGCTCTCCCCCTCCACCCTCACCAGTGAGAGTTGGTTTTTAAATATATACCAGCAAACTGGTGACTAGAGATAGTACAATCTGTTTGTGTGTCTATTCTCATTGCTATCATCTATTCTTTGCATCCTTTGCATTATGAATTTTCCTCCTGTGAATCACCTAATCTTACAGTTTTATAATTTTATTTTATTTTATTTGCTTTTTGGGTCACAACTGGCGATGCACAGGGGTTACTCCTGGCTTTGCACTCAGGAATTACTCCTGGTGGTGCTTGGGAGACCATATGCAATGCAGGGAATCGAACCCGGGTTGGTCTCGTGCAAGGCAAATGCCCTACCCACTGTACTATCACTCCAGCCCCAGTTTTATCATTTTAACATAGAATTTTCTTGATTTTTGTAGAGTACATAAGTTCCCTATATACTTTAGACACCCCAGCCAATACCATTCTCTCAGTTTACTAGTCTTTCTATGGTATTATTCGCTGAAGATAAAAGTTAATTGTGATGTTGTCAAGTCTCTCAATAATTTGCTTTAAGGTTTGTGCTTTTACAATCTTGTTTTTAGGAAGTAAAACTCTCCCCCACTTCCATAGAGATATTCTCACTTTTTCTTTCTCTTTCATATCTTGATTTTTAATCTATATAGAGCTTATCTGTGCATGTGTCAGGCATGGCCCATTCAACTTTTTGCTCTGAAATTAAGTCAGTATCCCCAGAACCATCTTCTGAATAATTATGTACCCTGAGATCCCCTGGGTTTGCTTCTGAACTCTCTACTCCTCGTAGCTATTCTATTTGTTCTGGTTCTTGTCCCATGTTTATTTATTTATTTTGTTTTTAAACATTTTTGTAAATTTAATTTTATTTTTATAAAGTAGTTCACAATAATTGATAACATTTAATATTCAAACACCAATCCCACCATCATTACACCTTCCCACCACTATATTTTGGATGTTTCCAACCCTTGCCCCAAAGCAGAACAGAAATAATTTATTTTGTTATGAATAAACCTCTGAAAATGATCCAAAAAAGTTTCCTTAGAGGAAAGTGTGTGAAGATTGTTGTATTTCATCCAGGGGCTATTAAGTCCTAATATAAGAGATTACTATCATGTTGTTAAAGGTTGAGCCTTGTGTGCTTACTTATTTATATGTATATATATATACATATATCCTCCTAAGATTGATTGCACTCTACTTTAAACCCCATCAAATGTGATGTGCTACTCTTGGAATATTAGTGATGTCAAGTATGAGATGTCAAGGCTGCACGGTCCAGGAGTAGTTTCACGCAAGGGTGAGAGGCTCAGCCCACACATGCAGAGAGTGGCTGTGAGCATGGTGGCAGTTGAGTTTTGGAGGATTTTGGCTGCCAGGGCTGTGTCCTAGGGGCAGGGAGGGGCCTCACCTGCCCCTCTCTGGGTTGCCCCGAATGAAACAGCCTGGTAAGGTATCCGGCAGCATGGTTATGGCATGCCGTTTTATGCTCTCTTCTGAGAGATTTATAATGAGGCTCTGGATCATGGCCATTTATGAGATTATAACCATGTTATTTTTTTTAACTATGTGGTAGTGTCCTAATATCCGGTAGAGCAGTTTTCCCTTCTGTGCTTTAAAAAAATTGATTCTTTAAGTTTGTGTTTTCCTTATATATTGAATTTGTTGCACTGTAGTGGGAGGGATCACATCAGCTATGCATGGGAGAAGGGGAGTCATGTGATATTGGGAATCAAACCCTGGGCCTCTACCACTTGAACCACATGCCAAGCTCTGTCATACATGTTCTGAGTGTATTGCCATTCCTTCAGTTTGATTTCTTGCTGGTATTTTGGGTTGCTCTGACACTGAATTCAGAAGTTAAATGGGCATATTTAATAATATAAAGTCTTCCTACCCATGCATGTCTTCATTTATTCAATTTTCTTTTTTTGCTTTTAATTATAGTTTTGAAACATTCTCCATAGAGTTCTTGCAAGTTGTTAGGTTGGTTCCTGGATCTTATTCTCTGAAGTTTTATTGCTATTGTGAATGGTCTCATTGTCTATTGTATTTCCTGGTTGCTAACTGCTGATGGGGAGGAAATATTGATTTTTCGAAATTGATCTTGTACTTGGCAACCTTGTTGAACTCACTTATTGCTTCTAATAGTTAATTTTGCTGGCTGTGCTATGATGATCACATGATCTACAAACAGCAAACTGCTAACAGCTCTATCCAGTGCTCTGATAGTATACATATAACTACATTTGCAAGTGCGACCAAGTCCTCATGTATCTGGTCACCCTATTGGTTGATCCCAGTGACAAGTCCTGCCCCAAGTCACCAGCCAGTCCAATTCAACAATTGTTAACTGGGAACTGCCTGGTGCTAAGAGGATGACTCATGGAGTATACCAGGATTCCAGAGGGCACTTGTTTCTTGGTGATGGCCGAGGGAGTGACTCCTGTTTTCGAATAAACGCAACCAGGTAAGTGGGAGACTCCCATGGCTTGGGAATTTGCCTGGGAACTCTCTTCTGTTTGGTTATAGCAGAAAAAGCCAGTGCCCTGGCTGGTTCAGGGAGTTTTTCTGTTTTTTTTGTTTTAAATTACAATTAAGAGCAATTGGACTAACCACACCCTATCACTTACTTATAGTGGCCCCATAGAGGGGTGAATTAAACCAGTAGCAAAAGCAAGCTGAAGAGCAGTGGACAGTTCTCTTAATAACACCTTCCGAAATATACAGATTGTGATGAGTTTCTGTGGCTTGGTGACAGCAGGGCTCCTTTGCAGTTGTATCAAGCGAAGCAGAAGCAGACTGCTTGGCTGCTTTTATCCAGCTCCGGCAGGCTGAGACAAGACAAGGGTGTGCTGAGAGTCCCAAGAGAGAGGTGGAACCCCTAAAGGGAGCAGGAAGTGGCTATGTCAAATTATCTCTAAGAGTACAAGATGCTGCTGAACCTGCAGGGACAAGAGCGCTTGGCAGTGGACCAGGGATTGTGGGCTGGTCATGGTATTTAAACGTTGCGTAAGTTCTAAGAGTTTTAGCCGGCAGAAATCATGTGCCACCTGATTCAACCATTTCATGCGATGCTGCGAACAGCTGGATTGATATTTTGAGCGATCCTAATGGAAGCATAGGACCTAGAATGACCTGGCAGTTGCTCTGTGCTCATCAGGACAGGCAATTCGTTACGGAGCATCCCATTAAGCATATTCTGGACCAAGTGTGAGCGCGTCACCAAGTCCCTCTACGATGGTGAGTAGGGTCTCGGCTATGACCCAGAAAGAGTGGCCTGGATGGCTACCTTAGAGTCAAGTGATCACGGGGACCCTAAGCAGAAGCAGAATCCAATGAGGGGGAGATGCAGGGATGTGGATATTAAATTCTGAGGTGAAATAACTCAACAAAGGTGCTGGGGGGTAAAATGACAACTTTCAAAGGAAGACAGCTCCCGCCGCAGGAAGTGCTCACAGCCCAGGAAGGGAGACTAAAGCTACTGCCGGGGGTCTTTTCTCTTCCCCGGAACTAATACTTCTAACAAAAAGATGCTCGGATGTGCTGGAGCTCCCCTCCCCCTTTCTCCCCTCTCGTGCCTTCCTTTTTCCTTTCCATCTTTCCTTTCCATCTGTCTCCTTCCACCGTTCCTTCTTGGCTTGCTCGCTTCTTTCCCTCCTCCCTCCTTCGTCCTCCTCTCCTTCCGTCTGTGCTATTGTCAGGCACTGGGCTGGGGTACGTGGCAGAACAGTGCGGCCCGTTTGTATCCGGGAGCCAGAACAGAAGGGCCTCAGAGAGAGAGAGCGGTTAGGGTGTCACTCTCCTGACTCAGGGTTCAAACCCGCAGTCCCGGGAACAACGGACTTTCATTAGTCCTTAGGGGAACTCATGAAGAGTCAAATACCTTCCTTTGCCCTGGTAGACAAGAGAGCCAGGATGCCAGGTTAGCTGTCAGCATCTCAGGAATGCGCTGGAGACAGAAGCAGGTGCAGGCGAGACCCGGCGCCTGAACTCCCCGGGCTGACCCCTCTGGGGTGTCCTGATTCAACTCGGGGATCGCCCAAACTAGGCTATTTCCAGTGTGGATGTCACTGACTTGGGGGCCCGCGCACGGGCCTAGACCCCCTCCCCCTGGAGAGTCCCCCTACCCCCCCCAAAAAAGGTAAGCGGCGCCGCCAGCTCCGGAGCCAGGGTGGGAGGAGACCCCCGCTGGCCGGCTCGAGGCTGCGGCGCAAGGTGACCTCGGGCAGCCCCGGCCGGGCGCGGGCGCAGGTGACCGGGCGCAGGCGCGCGCCCCCGCCCCGTGGCCCTCGGTGGCCGGCGCGTGCGCGGGACCCGGCCGGGCCTGCGCGCCGCCCCGACGCCCGCACTGCGCGCGCGCCGCCCCGCGTGGGCCCGGCCCGGAGCGCGCGCGGCGGGAGGGAGCGCGCCGGGCGCAGGAGCGCGCCCTGGCCTGGCCTCGGCGCCCCCCGCGTGCCCAGCCGGCGGCCCCGACCCGACCCGACCCGAGGAGGCAGGTGGGGCGCGGGCGCGGGGCCTGCGGGCCGCTCGGCAGTTCGGGGAAAGGCCGCGCCGAGGCGATCCGGGTGGGCGCCGGGATGGGGGGCGCGTGGGAGGCGGGAGGCCTCCCCGGGGCGGCCTGGTTTCCAGGGGGGCTGGCGGTGGGGGGCGGTGGGGGCGTTGAGCTGCATCGCGGCGAGGGGTGCGGGTGCTGCGCCTCCTGCCCGGCCGAGCTGGCCGCGTGGGAACTGCCCGTGGCGGTTACCCTGGAACCCCCGGTCGCAGGCTCCCTCCCTCTCTGCTCGGGAATCGGTTGGAGAAACCCCCCTTTTTTATTTTTTCAACCGTAGGGAATTCAAAGCTCAACCAGATGACTTTGCTCCCCATCGTTGACGACCCCAGATGGCTCAATTCTAAATTGTGGGGGGCGCTGGGGGAGAGAGAAGTCGCGGGCCAGGCGCGTGGAGAGCTGCCCGGCTCGCAGAGGCGCGGTACTGTAGCCTTGCGCCTGAGCAGGAGGCGTTTTGAGCATCAGCTGTCTGTTTCAATGAGATGTCAGGGGGTTCTGGCATCCTGAGCTGTGTCTGGACACAATGTTTTGATATGTAACAAGATGGTATTCTCAAGGGGGTGGGGGGGATCCGTTGCTTTCTCTGCTCACCCGTTAGACCGTGGTTGATATTGTAGCAGCATCAGAGTATATACATCAGAACCTTTGAAAAAAGTTCAATAGCAATTAAAAAAAATTTTTTTCTTCCTTCTTAGAAACAGCCACCACATACTTTGATAGTTTCACTTGTGAATCTTCTGCCCCATTTGAAAAGGATGCGTGTAAATGCAAAAGTTCCCGCGGTGTAGGACATGTAACAACGGGCGTGTGTGTGTGGTAAGGGGGGGTGGGGGTGGGGAGAAGAGAGGATGGATAATGCGTCCATCCCTTCAACAATCCAAAACATCCTGGTGCTCAGTTTGCGAACACCAACATGCATTTAAAAGTCTTTTGATGTGAGCCACCTGCGCTGTGAAATTGGCTCTTGAAATGTAATAAATACGTTCTTTTCTATTTCATGGCAGATTTGGCATATGGTATTTTATTTGGAGTGTTTATTTTAGGCATTTGGGTTTACCAGATACAGTCCACCATATCCGGACCTCTTTTAAATAGTGCTCTTTATTTGGGGGTCTCACATTGCTGGTACAAACTTCAGTTTTAAGATACATACTGTTATGTTATAGAATCAACAGCCCCCTCCCCTCCCCGTTTAAACCTACAAACATAGGGTGAAATTTGGGCTGATTGTTCCTCATTAATTATGCAAAATTAATCATGCCGCTGTGGAATTGCTTTGGGGGGTTGGCCTTTTTATAGTTTCGGGCATCTGTAGATTGCTTTTCTCTGCTGGAGTTTGACAGTGTTTTGACAGCTACTTCGGCGCTAGTCAGTAGAACTCAGCGCAAGCCGGGAGGAGTTCTTTGGGTGCTCTTTGCTCTGGTAGCTTCTGGCCACGGGTGTGTGTTGAGTGAGGCTGGAGGGATGGAGGAACTGTGGTTCTAACTTCATTTATGTAACCAGATGTGGTTGGTAGTTGCCCAGTTGTGGGTAGCTGTAAACTATTTAACCCCGGGGAGGTCTCTATCCTGTCTGGGATCTCTGGTGTCAGAGATGCTCTTTCTTTCCTGTTCTGTGGTCCAGCAATCTGTCTTGTAGACCTCTTGGAAAATCCCATTGGCAGTGGGAATCTACATGCCAGCGTATCTGCCTTTAACCTTTGCTCTGCCTGGTCTAGGATTTAGAAAGAAACAGCGGCTCCTTGTCCACAAACTGAACAGATTTCTTTAGGGCAGGTCACTTCTGGTCTTGTCAGGGCCTAGAGCTTGACCGAAAGGCAAGTATTGCACAAACCTGTCCAGTGATTGAAGAGGTCGTATGTAGATTTAAAAAAATGGATTCTGAGAAGTGTTTTAAATGTCTTCTTTGGTTAGTTTACCTCTTTGGGAATCTCAATAAAAACCAGGTCACTGGATAAAATCCTGCTGGTGGTTTAATGGAAGTGCCTCATGCTTCCAACTGTCGTGGACACACAGCTTGGGTCTATGTGAGGTTAATAGCTCAAGGATGCTCCTGAAACCGTATTTCAAATAAATGCAAGGGTCTCTTGGCCTCGGAAGTTTCCTAGTGGGCCACGCATATTCCTGTACCCCTCTGAAGAGGTTACAGACCTCTCTCATCTCTGCTGCTTTGTCTTAGGGCAAGGAGCAGGAATCCTAACATTTGAGAGATTGAGTCTTATGACAAGTTTTTTTTTTTTTTTTTGTTCAGAGTTAATTTGGGCTGATGGAGTAGGATTTGGTTTTGTTTCTGGGGGTCACACCCAGTGGTTCTCAGAGGTTATTCCTGGCTCTGCACTCCGTGATCATTGCTGATTTCTGGCAGGCATATGGGATGCTGAAAATCGAAACTGGGTTGGCTGCGTGCAATCAAGTGCCCTAGCTGCTATACTATTTTTTCAGTCAGAGATGGAATAGAATTTGATTGAAATCAAAGCTTGGTTCTAGAATTTGATTCTAGTTACTGTATTTCTGATGTATATACAGTAGACCAGGGCTTCTTTTCCTTTCTTTCTTTCTTTCTTTCTTTCTTTCTTTTTTAAATTGTAGTCTTCCTCAAAACAATCAGAGATATAACAAGACTTAAAAGGAACCAGTCAGTTCAAAGAAACATTCTCCATGTTTGACCAAGTCTTGACATGTCATACATTTTCAGATCTTGAAAAAAAATGTATAGGGAAGGACTTTAAGACTCTCTACAAAGCTTGTAAAGATTCATGGTTTTTCTTTGGGGAACAAAAAGGTAGTGGTTTAGGTTTTTCATAAAGGAAAGGGAATAGGTTTAAAGAAAATGCAATGAATTCATAAAATACAAAGGAAGTTCACTTTTGGTCAGGCAATACAGTAACTTCTGGGCCTGAAAAATCTAACCTGTAAAATCATAAAGTTTCTGGCTATGCTATATTGAATGAATTATCTTTCAACTTTGAAACCAGGATGTTCATAGTCATCAAATAGGAACAAGACACTGAGTTAACTCTAGTGGCAAGTGATACTAGTATAAAATACAGCTCTCACTTTGGATATCTCAAAAGTCTACAAAGAAGTAAAAATATGCTCTGCAGCTGTTTGATTTCAAGTGTAACTAACAGAAATATAGACAATTTTATGACCATTTTGTTGAAGAACTAAGAGTAAACATGACTAAGTCCTAAAGTGTCACTGGAGTCCGATTCATTTTCCTATCTCCTAGCTTAAATCCAGGATGCTCTCCTTGTCAACATCTGTGCTTCTGGAATTCGGTGGTTGTCTTTGATTAGGTATTTAACATACCCCGGAGTGCAGCCCTAAAACACCTTTACAGCTGACTGTCACTTTTCCTACACGCACCCCAAGTTCAGCTCATTCCTCCATTAAAGTTCTCTTCCCTTTTAAAGTTCTGCCCACGGCCTGCCTACTCATCTTCCAGGGGCCATCTCAGTGCTCTTTTCTTCACTGCTCCTCTTCTGATTCCGGGAAGCTCCCAGAGCAAGTGTTCTTGTACTTGCTGGAACGTGTTCCATTTATTTCGTCACCTACAGCACCTGTCAGTGCTATTTTAGTCACCCTGGTAGATTGTAAGCCACCCGAGAAGCAGGGATCACCCATTACTTATTTTTGTGTTTTCTGCAACATCTAGAAGGGTGTATTGTCTTGTAAATAGTGGTTACTTGATAGACATGTATTAGGCTTTGTTTCTGCTCCTTGGCTTTTTTTAGGAGCCAGTGAGAAGACACTTGGGTTATTTCAACCCTGAGACACGTCAGTATGTTGGTGGTGTATGTGACTTTTTGGTGATGCTGTTTGATCCCAGTATCCTGTTATTTTCCTCCTGATGTGGCAAAGTTAACATCAAATTTGTCTTAGTGTTGGAAAACACTTGAATATCCTTAGCAGAATAACACTGGATTTGGCTCTTTAATAAATTGTATCCAAGTTCTTACAAATTTGTTTTAACGAGAAAAAAGAAAGCATCTTACTTTTCTCTGGTTCCTACTAGTGTGGGAGAGCATGAATGGATTTGAAAAGGAGCCAGCTCAGGGAGGTGACTTCCCTGGAGTAGATGGTGAAGGTAGAGCAAAGCTGATACACAGTTGGTGAACCAACATTAAATACAGCATATAAAGTAATATTTAGCTTGGCATTATTATGATGATATTATTATTATTATTATTAGGCTGGAGTGATAGCACAGCGGCACAGCAGTAGGGCGTTTGTTTGCCTTGCGCTCAGCCAGCCCGGCCAAGCCGGGTTCGATTCCTCCACCCCTCTCAGAGAGCCTGGCAAGCTAACGAGAGTATTCAATATGCCAAACACAGTAACAAGAAGTCTCACAATGGAGACGTTACTGGGCCCGCTCGAGCAAATCGATGAACAACGGGAGGACAGTGGACATTATTATTATTATCAGGGGCTGCACCAAAAGCCTCCATCCCTCTCGGAAAGCCCAGCAAGCTACCGAGAATATCCCGCCCACACGGCAGAGCCTGGCAAGCCACCTGTGGTGTACTTGATATGCCCAAAACAGTAACAATGATGGTCCTCATTCCCCTGACCCTGAAAGAGCCCCGAATATGCCATCGGGTTACCCTAGTACATGACAAGGACAAATGGAGACGTTACTGGTGCCCGCCCCAGAAAATCGATGAACTACAGGATGATAGTGCTAGTGATAGTGATTATTATCATGGAATTATTGGCTACTCTTACTGATTCTATTCTTTCAACAGAAATAATCAAAATTATTTCAATTTTATTTCATAATAAGATATCCTATTTATCCATATTTAGGAACAGATAATGAGATTTATAATATCCTAGATTTTAAAGATTTGATACAAGACAAATTGGAAGATGTTGAATGTGGGGGTCAGTTTAACTACGACTTTATCTGCTTGTCTTTTTTTTAACTGAATCACCATGAGATACAGTTACAGAGCTTTCATGATTGGGGGGTTTCAGTCATACAATGATTGAGCACCCATCCCTTCACCAGTGTGCATTTTCTACCACCAATGTTCCCAGTATCCCTCCCTGTTACCCCCACCCCATCCTACCCTCCTGCCTCTGTGGCAGGCACCTTCCTTCTTTTTCTCTACTTTTGGGCATTATGGTTTGTAATACAGTTAGTAAGAGGCCATCATGTTTGGTCCTCAGTCTACTTTCAGCATGCATCTCCCATCCCAAGTGATCCCCCCAGTCCATCAGTTCTCCCATCCAAGTGATCCCCCCAGTCCATCAGTTCTTTTTTTACTTAGTGGACCCTTCTCCATCTCAGTTGCCTTTCCCCTCAGCACATGAGGCCGGCTTCCATAGCATGGAGCAGTCTTCCTAGCCCTAGTCTCTACTGTCCTTAGGTATTAGTAAACTATTATGTTATTTTATATTCCACAGATGAGTGTAGTTATTCTCTCTCTCTCTCTCTCTCCTTCTGACTCATGTCACGTAGTATGATATTCTCCATGTCCATTCACTTACAAACAAATTTCATGAATTCATCTTTTCTCACAGCTGCATAGTATTCTACTGTGTAGTTGTACCAAAGTTTCTTTAACCAGTCATCTGTTCTTGGGCACTCGGGCTTTTTCCAGATTCTGGCTATTGTGAACAGTGCTGCAATAAACATACAAGTGCAGATGTTGTTTCTATTCTTTTTTTTTTTTTTTTTTTTTTTTTAGTTTTTGCACTCCTGGGATATATTCCCAGAAGTGGTATTGCTGGGTCATATGGAAGCTCAATTTCTAGTTTTGGAGGAATGTCCATATTGTTTTCCAAAAAGGTTTGACTAGTCAGCATTCCCACCAACAATGAATGACAGTCCCTTTCTCCCTGCATCTGCGCCAGCACTGGTGGTTCTTGTTCTTTTTTGATATGTGCCAGTTTCTGACTGCCACTTTCTCTGCGTTCCACATCATTTCAGCTCTGTGGGAGGGGGTACCATTTAAGTGCTCACGTTTTCTAGGAAGAAAAGGTAACACAAGTGCTTTGGTTTAAAAGACTTGGTTTCTATCTCTGACTGGCTTAGAACAGATCCTGTACATTGTAAGAAGTGCAACTGTGCATCGAAGATTTTAGATTCATTTTATGGTTTTCAACAAAGTTTTCTGGGGTATCAGAAAAGAACCAGTGTGTTTTATTTATTTATTTTTTATTTGCTTTTTGGGTCACATCTCAGAAATTACTCCCAGTGGTGCTCAGGGGACCATATGGGGTGCTGGGAATTGAACCTGGATCGGCCTCATGCAAGTCAAACGCCCTACCCACTGTACTATTGCTCCAGCCCCCAACCAGTACTTTTTAAACTAGATTGTTTTCTCATGAGAAGCACATGGCTCCAGCTACAGGATGACATGCCTTTGCCTGTGCCAGGTTGTATGGAAAGTTAAAGGCAATGTGCCCAGGTCTGCACTGAGATGGAGAGAGTTCCACCCAGTAGATGAGCTCAGCATTAAAACTTACTTTCATGTTATTGGAGAAAGTGTTGTCATTACTCCTGAGCATTTGTCTGAAAAGCTGATGTGTGCTACTGACTGAAAAGAAGCCCTAGGAAACTATGTGCATTCTTGGGCAGCAGTTTTAGAAAAGAATGGTCTTCTTTATTTCTTTACCCTTCTTTTCTCTCTTTTAGACATTGAAGGTTGAAGTTTAAATTGTCATTTGGAAAAAATGTAAGATTGTAAAAAAAAATTTACAGACTTGTTGTGATTGAAGGGAATTGTTGTAAGTTGCCGAAAGATATAAAAGCCATTTCCTCTTTTCTCATTAAAGGTGGCTTTCTAGAAGATGACCATAGAGGACCTTCCAGATTTTCCATTAGAAGGACAGTCTTTGATTGGAAGATACCCGTTTTTATTTCCAGGATCAGAAACACCAGTTATCTTTTCCATTTCTGCAGCGCCAATGCCTTCGGACTGCGGTATGTTAAGTAGCTAGATACATTTTAATTTTTCTTATTATTTTTTTGGGGGTTTTGGGCCACAGCTAGCATGCTCAGGGCTTACTTCTGGTTCTGTGTTTGGGTGTCACTCCTGGGGTGCATCAGGGGCCATATGAGTGCTGGGCATTAAACCTGGGATGGATGTAGACAGTGCAAGCAGCCTCCTCATGCTACTGTCTCTGACCCCTCCAGATATATTTTCTGTGCTCAGTGACTTGATCTCTGTCTTTAGGGCCTTTATGTACTTAGTTTTTCCTAAAGCGACTTGCTACAGTTTTCATAAAATTGCTAGTTTTCCCTTTTCCAAAATACAATTGCTTATTGCCTTTTCTGCCTCTTAAGCTAAACTCTTTATTTCTGCTGTCAGCATTTGTATTATGTAAAAATGTTCATTTTAAGCACCATGATGGATTTGGAGGATATTATTTTTAGAATTCAATGGTGCTTAGATATCTAGCATTCTTCTGCTATTGATGTATTTATTTCGGTTAAATAGACTGACTTGCTAAAATGCCATGTACTAAAAAAAAAAAAAAGATTTAAAAGGCCCGTGAACTACCCACGGTGCCAAGCCCAGCTATCTCTGGAACACCAGGATCTTCATGAACTAATCAAGACTCTACTGCTTGAAAAATGCAAATTTGGGTGACCATGTAATAAGTTTGGTATGGAAGGAAGCTAATTCAGGTCTGGTGCTGTATTCCATTATAATAATCAATGCATGCACAAATAAAATACAGTAAAACATAAAACTAATAAAAAATAAAATAAAATAATAAAAAAATAAAAAAAAATGAAAACGAATACTTTAGAGATGGAAAGCCACACCATCCTTCCTTCACCAAAAAAAACAAAACAAAACAAAACAAAACAACATAAAAGTCCCATACGTAGGCACAGAAAGGTGAGAAACCTTTCCCTGGAATGTAGGAAAGTAAGTTGCTTCACTGAAATTTCCTCTGAAACATGTAAATTTAGACATTGTCTAGTTTTTAATCTGTTTAGATTCATTTCCCCTAGGATCTTACTTTTGTGAGCTAGTTGAGAAAAGAAAATGAGGAGGGTGCATTTGAGAGATTTGTTACATTTCTAATTTAGTTTAAGCTATATAGGACTGGGGTGTCATTTCAGCTTGTCTTCTGTGGTAGAGCTCATGCCATTTTAGATATTAGTAGCTGTAAAATTACTGGACTGCGAATTTGTTTTTAGGCATATTCATCTGAGCAATTGCTTATCTCCAAGTATGACATTTTGGTATGTTCAGTTCCTGTAACAGCTTACCTCGCAATCATTGAAAGTATTACAATAAAACCCATGCTTAGGAGCTCTTGGCAGCTTTTATAGAAATGGACTGGGTTTATTTTCAGATAGAACAGAATCAGTTATGCAGGAAAAGCCTTGAACTGAAGCCCACTTTGGACCTTGCTAATGGCATTTGCCACATTCCGTCTTGAATTGCAATTGTCTAGTTTCCTTTCTGAGACCATAGCTCTTCGGAATGGGATCACAGTCGTGTTTCATTTTTACAGTAGACATGAGTGGCAGTAGTCCTGGGAGTCTTTTCTTCTTTTTCTGGTGTTATTTCCAATGCTTTTTTCCAAAGCAAGGTCATGGAGATGCTATTCTCCCTGCTTCAGAACTGCAGAACTGAGAGATCCATTAAAAACCAAGGATCTGCAGGAGAGCAGAGCAGGACTAACTTGTTAGATGAGAATCAGAATGATTCGGAACAGAACGAGGTCGAACCCCAAATCTTCGACCACAGAATGGTCCTGTGTGTCTAGACAAAGGAATGACGACGATGGTAAAATCTACGTTGCAGTATGGACAGGCACCTTGCTATTTTTTGAACACAGACTTGAGTGTTTTTCTTGTAAATTTCATCTGAAACTGGGATGTTTGGTCTAATGGATTCATCAGAAATTGGTCTAGGGGTTGTAGCAATAGTACAGAGGCTAGGGTCAGTGCCCTGTATGTGGCTGACCAGGGTTTAATCGATCCCTGTCTCCCATGTGGTCCCCTGTACCCTGCCAGAAGTGATCCCTGGGGCACAGAGCCAGGAGTAAGCCCTGAACACTACTGGGTGTGCTACCCCTGCCCCCACAAAAAAGCCAGGAAAAAATTGGTCTAAAATTTTGTATAATTAGCATCTAATTATCATATATATATACTTAAATAAGAATATTTATCATGTGTTTATAGGAGAGATATAAACTCTCTCTCCCTCCCTCTCGGAGAGCCTGGCAAACTACCAAGAGTATCCCGCCCGCATGGCAGAGCCTGGCAAGCTCCCCATGGCATATTTGATATGCCAAAAATAGTAACAAGTCTCACAATGGAGATGTTACTGGTGCCCACTCGAGCAAATCGATGAACAATGGGAGAACAGTGTTACAGTGCTACAGTTTATGGGAGATATAACTGATAATAGAGTAAACTTAACATTCTAGCATTGATTATGGTAGTAAACAATAGGAAAATTGAAATGTCTCCATAGAGGAATGGATAGAACATGTTATATTCTTAGAATGGACTTTATGTTCAACTAATAAGTGAATTAGGTTTCTATCATGGGTTCATAAGGCTCTGTATCAAATAATTGTGGCTCAAATAAAGTTGTACTTTTTATTTTATGCAACTAGAAATACATGAAACAGTACTAATTATTATTTCTGGGCACTCATGTAAGTGAAGAAGCATAAAAATGATGCCCTCTACAGCATTCATACTTTAAGATGCTTCCCTTTGGGGAGCAAGAGAAGTGGAGCACGAACAGACACTGGAAGGACTTTCAGTTTTCTCTTTAAGACTTTACCAATTTTCAACTAATATAAAAGCAGAGGGTGAAGAGTTAGGGCATTGGACAAGGCTCTTGCCTTGTGAATGACTGGCGTGGATTCAATCCCTGGCACCACACGTGGTGAACCTAGCCACAGGTGATTCCTGAGCGCAGAGCCAGGAGCTAGCCCTGACCACCACCAGCTATGGCCCCTAAACCCAAACCCAAAACCAAAACCAAAACCAAAACCAAGGGCTAAAGGCAATGCTAACACTTGATCATTGTGTTGGTGGATGTATGTGATATGTTTGCTATCACTTTTCCCTTCAAAATATTTACACAGTGCCCAGTATCCCTCTCCCCCCTCCCCCCATCCCACCCCGCCTCTGTGGCAGGGCATTCCCCTTTGTTCTCTCTCTCCTTTTGGGTGTTGTGGTTTACAAATAGGCACTGAGTGGCAATTGTGTTGGGTCTATAGTCTACTTTCGGCATGCTTCTCCCATCCTGGAAGGATCCTCCCAACACCCTTTACTTGGTGTTCCCTTCTCTATCTGAGCTGCTTTTTCCCCTAGCATGTGCACTGGCACTGGTGGAGGGATGGGTACTCGATCATTGTATAACTGAAACCCAAGCACCAAAACTTCTAAGTCTACAACTGTACCTCAAGGTGTTTCACTAATAAAAATTAAAAAAAAAACCTAAAAGAATTGTTTTCACAGTTTTCTATTATAAAGATTGAAATGCAATGGGAAAAAAGCCAAGTGCAGAATCAATAAAGCAATATGCAAATGAATTATTGAGGTACGTTTAAAGAACATTGAAGCATGGGGAGCTTACCGAGACACTTCCTGTTCCTGAATGAAAAGGAAAAAGACTCAAAGCTTTCCGAATTCAGTTTCTCCAAGAGCACTCAATTGTCCATCACTGCAATTCTAATCCAAATCTCACCAGGATTTCTTTGTGGAAGGAGACACACAAAATGATTCTCCTGTTCATCTGCACCAGTTTCTCAAGCAGTAATGCAAATAGGGACAACTTAGGGGGCTTGTTAGACTGTTGTATTGCCCTGCAAGTCTCAGGAGGGAGGCTCTGGGAGGAGTGTGTGTGTGTGTGTGTGTGTGTGTGTGTGTGTGTGTGTGAGAGAGAGAGAGAGAGAGAGAGAGAGAGAGAGAGAGAGAGAGAGAGAGAGAGAATGTGTGTGTATTTGTGTCTTCCTTTTCTAACAAGCTCCTAGTGATGCCAATGCTATTAGTAAGAACCACACTTTGAATAGCAGAGATCTAGAAAGGAAGAAACATTTGAACCAAGGATAATGGCCAGAATGGGAAGGGGCTGGGTTGGAGCACAGCCTGTGAAGACCCATATACAATGTGTCAGCATCACTTTTATTGCCATCAGTGGCATTGACAATAGCAATAGCCCTTTACTGTAATAATAATAGTATGCTACTTTTATTAAGTGTTCACTAGGTGCTGGTACTTTTATATGCATTTTCTTTATTGAATCCTCATAACTGTCAGATGAGGTAGGTCTTACTATTCTTCTCATTTTACCTAAGAAACAAAGGGACAGAGAGAAAAAAGTCATGTGTCCAAGTTCTCCCAATTGGTTGAGTCAGGATCAAGTCTAGATGAATCTCTGAGCTTCACTGTGTCCTGCACAGGAGCAAATTTAACTGCATACAAAATTTAAGTTTGAAAATGCAGCAAAAAGGAAAAAAATTGGTAACAAGAAGCAAGTTCATAGATGAAATGTGGCTTTCAATATACTAGAGTCAGTGAGGGCTGTGATCCCCTCAGAGACAACTGTCACAACTGCCTCAAGAGGCCCTGGGCCACAACCCTGCAAGCTTTCCCGAGCTGCAGAGACAGAGCTTTGAGAAATCAGGACAGTTGGAGTTCCCCAGCGAAGTCTCAGAGAAGAGACGCAAAGCTTGAGAACTGTAGAGGTCTGGGGGAAAACAGCTGGGGTAAGGGAAGGAAGTGCCCTGAAGCCCAGGGACCAGTAGCTAAAATCCTTGTCATCTTGTCTGTTATTGTTGATACATTTATTTGACGACTTTTTATCACCTTCCTTTGTGCCTTTTTATTTCCAACAGAATTTTCTTTCTTTGATCCAAATGATACGTCATGCCAGGAAATTCTCTTTGACCCCCAGACTTCTGTATCAGAATTATTTGCCATTTTAAGGCAGTGGGTCCCACAGGTCCAGCAAAACATCGACATCATTGGAAATGAGGTAAGGAATCCTCGTTGGGATCCTTGCGTTGATAAGGTTAGTGGCATTTACTTTGCCCCCAAGTGGCTGGCTGGAAACACAGTGACGAGGCAGAAACTTTTGAGAATCTGATGTTCCAGGTAGTTGTGGGTTTTTCACGGAGCAGCAGGTTAGTTTTGTGCATTCTTGCTGATTTTCCTCATGCTTCTCCTTTTTTACTTCTGAGTTCTGACATTACAGAATCTCGGGAAGAACAGGCCTTTTTCAGATGCCTGTTCCTTGTGTCAGGCATCAAATCCAGGACCTCCTGCAAGCGAGGCAGGCGTTCTTACCACCCACCAAGCCACATTCATTTTACTGACTTTTAAGAACTACATTTCACGAGAAGACCACTGTCTTGTTTTTCCTATAGGGTTGATTTGCTAAAGGTCTCAGCTTAAGTGTAATTTTGGAAACCGCTTGGTAATTTTGCAGGAGGGATAGTAGAATAACTGGGCTCCTTAAATAGCCTGTTGTCAGGTGGTAGAAAAAGAGAGGCCACATTCCTCCTCCCCAATCTACACCTACTAACTAGAAAGGGGATTTTGCTTCTCTGTGGAGAAAAATCACTGTCCACTGTTCTCCCGTTCATTGATTTCTCGAGCGGGCAGCAGTAACGTCTCACAACACATTTTGAGGCTTGTTGTTACTGTTTTTGGCATGTCAGATACGTCATGGGGAGCTTGCCAGGCTTTGCCGTGCAGGCAAGGGACTCTCCGTAGTTTGCCGGGCTCTCCAAGAGGGGCAGAGGAATTGAACCCGGGTTGGCCATGTTGGCCGCATGCAAGGCAAATGCCTTACCTGCTGTGCTATTGCTCCAGCCCCTTGGAGAGGTTAAGGAGTCTATTTGGAGTGCCTGCTTGCCTTGAAATACCCTCAGAAGAATTTCCTTCAGTCAGGTGCCACGTTCAGTGTCATTATTGTCATTGGGGGCAGATTTCAAATATTTAACATTTTTTTTCTTTTTCTGGGGGTTTGGGTGGGGCGACTCCTAGCTGTGCTCAGGGCTCTGGGCTCAGAGATCACTCTTGGTGGGATTTGGGGGACCATTTGTGATGGATGCCCAGGATGTAACCCGGGTTAGCCACATGCAAGGCAAGTGCTCTGCCCACGGTCCCATCTCTCCAACCCCCAAATCTGTCCTTAAAGAAGACAGGAAATCCTTTGTGCAGGAGTGGATCAAGTGCGGTGGGAGTGCTCACACTTTGCATGCACGGGCCCCTACTTAGTGCCTCATACCCCCCTCCCTTCCCCCCCTCAGCCAGCTCCCACCCTCCCACCACAAGAGAAAGAGAAGCCAGGTTTGTTTATCCATATCGCGACATGATTCTCCTTGGGATCTCTGCAA